ATAGAAATTTTTTGATCTTTGCAACCATAGTAAAACAAAGACTTATATTTTTGATAGTTATTTTATATATTTAAATGCCATTTAACAAAGAAAAATCAACCCAAAAAATGAGTTTGTGTGTCATAGGTTCGCCATCACTGCTCTAGTTGCTCACTTCTGAATCAGTACGATTGGTGGAATCTAGGCCACGTGCCTGTGCCCTTGCTGCAAAGAAAGCTCAGGAAGAAAGTTTTATGGGTTCTTCCTGTGAAGGTGAGCCTCCTGTGGCTAGATGTTCCCCCAAAGACAGCAAATGTGTTTCATAATTGCTGGAAAGCCTAACACATGCACAATGAAATGCCTACGCTTCTCCCTGGAAAACTAACTTCCTATAGAGAACAGTATTGGATGTACGTATTCCTTCTCTCTGCAGGACACACATCGACATTCTCCTTTTTGGCATCAGGGAAGACTCTAATTGGATGGAATTTAATGTAAGAAAGCTTCTTCCTAGGGCACCCTTTGATCATTGCACATTCTGAGGAGAAGGTGGCCCTAACAGGTCAGACTAAATAGGACAGAAACAGCCTAGGAAATCTGCCAGGAGGAGGGGCGATGAGGAGGGCCCAGGAGAAAGGACTCTGAAGTTCTTTCTGTGAATTTGGTCCCTGTCCCCACTAGTGAACAGATAGAATTTATTGTCCCATCTATACTGGTGTTTTCCCGGTGTCCTGTTTCTGAACACACCATATACGAATCGCTACACCCTAAGAGCAGGATGGAGCAACTTGGAAAAGGCTGAGATATAGAAATAGACCTTGTGCCAAGTGCAACTGCTGTGAGCCACACACAGATGCTGACACCCAGACCAGTGGATGGGGTGTGGGAACAGATGGATCATAGGGATGTTGAGTGTATGTGTCTGTGTGTGTGTGTGTGACCAGACATAACACATCCAGGGGCCCCATATGTCATTTCTTGCTCACAGCAACTCTAGAAGGCAGGTGCCCATGATCAAAGAGTGAATCTAAAAGGAGCACTGGGCACGGAGAATGCAGCAGGTAAATGGGTCAGCAGAGGGCAGAGCCCCGTCACCACTGAGATGGGCCCAGAAGACAGGAATGACAACTTTGGGGCTGCACTAACAAAGGCAGGCCAAGGCTCTCATTCTAAAGAGACAAACCTACCAAAGCATATTGTAAGGACGGGGCTTGGGCATGGGAATGCGTGACATGGCCATTAGTGGGGCTCAGGTGTGATGTGGACAGTGTAATGTGTTGGAGCTCCTGATCTATAGGGTGACCATGTAAATTTTTTAAAAATCCTCACTTGAGGATGTTTTTATTGATTGAGAGAGAGAGAGAGAGAGAGAGAGAGAGAGAGAGAGAGAGGAACTTCAGTTGGTTGCCTCCTGCATGCCCTGACTGGGAATTGAATCTGCAACCCAGGTATGTGCTCTGACCCGGAATCAAACCCATAACCTTTTGGTTTATAGGACAATGCTCCAACCAACTGAGCCGCCCAGCCATGGCTGATCATGGAAATTTTAATTACAAACCAGGAATGGGAATCTTATTAATAATTATGCTAGAATAATAGGCATAAGCCAAGAATGTTCCAGGAAAATGGAACATAGGATCCTCCCAATTAAACATCACCTAGCCCTAGTGAATCCACAGGTAGAATTCAAGTAGACATGACCAATAAAGGGAAAGAAAGTAGCTGAAAAAAAATAAATAAATAAAAACAAAAAAAAACCTGACTTAGGAGAGACTGTATTTCTACTCTTTCCTTTGGTTTTAATATTCTAAGAGATGGCATTTAAAAAAATCAGAGATGCTAGCATATATTTAATTTTCATCTCTTCTCTCTTAACTCCTAGCCAGAAGCTAAGGATGATTGTTCCAGCAACAGCACGGGGCATGAAAACTCATAAAAAGTTACTCCCCAAGACGAAAAACCAAGAGGGTCAGTTTGCCTGGTCAGTGGCAAGATGGGGGCTGGTCTCCATGACAAACTCTGCTAACTCCCTGCTAGTTCCAGCTCAGAGACGGCCACGCTGGCGGTGATACCCACAGGACTTCTGCCCTCGGTGCATTAGAAGTTTCAGAGACAGAAGAAAGGAAATCAGATGTTTATCACCAGACTGATTGTGACGTCTCTCCAGAGGATGTTCATTGTTAGCAGATTCACTTTCTAAGAGAAAGGTCTCTAAGGGGAATGTTCCTGATGCCCAATGTAATCAAAGAAAGAACCGGCAGCGTCTCCAAAGGCTGCCATTTTAGCTTCCGGCTGCCAGTGTGATCCGGGCCTCAGTAGTACTGTCCTCAGAAAGCAGGCAGAGCTTTATCAGATGCTTTAGAAGAGACTTTTTGAACAGTCTGACATGCCAGCAGGCCAATGCTGCAGCATTTATTATTCCTGAGCTCCCAGAGGTTGGCTTTGAAGACCAACCTGGCACCGGGAAGCCATTTTCACTAGTAAGATATTCAGAATCATGATTTCAATAGCCGTATGTTTGGGGAGAACAGGAATATTGAACCTTGGTTCTACCTTTTACAGTGAGGCCTTGTACCCTCTTGCTTGTATTAACAGTTGAGTGCACTTTAGGCTTGTGAAACTCCCTCCACCCTGTCTCTGTTGAAAGCTTCTCATCAAAGTTTACATTTGCAGGGATTTAGAGGATTATATAAATCAGTGTGGAGGGGCAGCCGGGCCTTAAGTTAATGACCATCATGCCCCTAAGCAGCGTGCAGGACGGCCATGGTGGAGCAGGCACGTCAGGGTGGGCGAAAAGACGTCCAGAAGGGCCTTTGTCCCACAAGCAGTTTCAACCCTCCCCCCAAATTCACAGGCTTCTTCCTTTCTTTTCTTTTTTTTTCCTGCTAGCACTTATTCACAGCCCAACATCCCATATGTTTTACTTATATTTGGTTATTGCTACTGCTGTGCATGAAGTCAGGGTTCTGTCTGTTTTGTAAATACCTCTGTTCCTAGTGCCTGCTGCATAACAAGTGCTCAATGATATTTGTTGAATGAATAAATGGTGGAACACCCCCCACCCCCATATAAACATAAATCATTCATTGAGTTTTTCCTTCAGATATAAAGTATCCAACTGAGAAGAGTCCTCCAAATCCTACTTCTGGGCTGAAAGAAACTCTATTGAAAGAAAGGAATTTGGAGGCAGGGGAGGAAACTGAGGGTGGGGCTAAGAGACAGGAGAATTTTTTAAAAGGCCAGACTAACATACCAAAATCAGACTATAAAAATGTAATATTTCTTAAATATCTGCAATGTATCACACTTGTGAGTTTTGCTCTATGTGTCTCTCTTTACAACAATAAATTCTTAAAACAAGCAAACCAAAAAGGCTCAGTGACAACCCGTAAGCAGAAAATGATAGATGCTGTGACTTAAGTAAAAGGAAGCATCTTAAGAAATCGATGGAACAAGGAGTTTTAACAGGAAAGAAAGGGGGGAAGGGGAAAAGTGCACCGAGACTCCAAGAAGGACCTGAGAAGTAACCACTTGTAAAGGTAAGGCCAGCTTAGAGACGGCGCAGAGAGAAGGTAGGAATTGAGATTCTCCATGAAATGGTGGCAACAAAACTAATCCCAACCAGGACAGAAAATGTCCCCAGCACCCTCTTCTCCATCATCTCCCAATCCAAGCAGTTGCTTAATCCTGCTGGTGTTTCCACTTCAGTGATATTTTCAAATCAGGTTTTCCTTTCAATCCCTAACGCCATTAGCTTAGTTCAAAGGCTTGTCATTTTCCTGTAGGAATGCAATAATGACCAAGTCACTCTGCCTCCAGGATGACCTCCCTGGAATCTATCTCTCCCTAGTGCCCAGCGTAAAGTCTGTCAGAAGCTGCCCCTGAGCCTATTAGAATGATGCCCATCAAGTTATATTTTCAGACCATTCTCCAGTGATGTGCACAAAGGTTCACAATGAGGCCTCAGTGTGAATTCCATAGTTAGAAACTGTACAGAGACAATGCCTGTCTTATGGACGGCTGGACCTCTAACAAGTAGCTCAGTGCCGATGCTCCACAAGTATTTAGTACCTGTTCCACAAATCAATAAAAGTGGGAAATCATGACATAAAATTGTGGAATGCAATCCTAATAATGTAAAATACACACACATATATGCATACAAAAGTCCAAAAATACAGCAAAATATTTATTTGTATCATTTATGCATTTTTTAACTTTCAAAATTACTTTAAAAATTTTTTTCGCTCTCTCTTATAGTGAGATACAAAAAATACACACAAAACCAAAAGGGAGTAGAGCAAGAATCATGTACCTGACAAATCAGATAGCAGTGTGGGGCATTATGAGAGGTACAGCACCCTTATCACCTACAGCCAAGGCTTCATCTTCCGGCCCTGCCCCTGCCCCACTTCCTGTTCCTCTCGGCCACCCAGGAGAGTGAGCAGTGCCAAGCAACACCATGGCCTTCACATATATACTTGCTGTCTACTTTCACGCCACTATCCTAGAATGCCCAATGCCACAGTCTGTGTCCCTGCCATCTTTTCATTTCGAGGGCAAAACACAATTCCCGATCCAAAAGAACATTACATGTTGATAGAGTAAATTAATTAATACATGAATAAGGCAGAAACACTGAATGTGTGGCCCACTTCTTTCATTGATTCTAAAATCCTACCCACCTAATAGGGTTGCTGTGAGGACGAATGAAAAAATGCTTGTAAAACATGCCTGACACATAAGCACTCAAAAAACGAAAACATTTATTAACTATTATCGACAGGATGAGGTACAAGATGCTTTGCTCCCTTAGCCACAATCATCTTAAATTGCAGATAATAGTTCCTGCCCTGCCTCTCACCCCTTGAGGTGAGAAAGTGCTTAAAGCAGTTTGGGAACTATAAATCATGAGGCAAACACATGTTATTATTGTGATGATGATGATGATGAAAATGATTACATGCCATTTTCTTTGTGACTCTTACCTACAATAAGTTTATCATTTAAGGTCACGTTACCTTTGCTGAGGTTTCAAACCATCCTACGAAACCGTGCTCCTTGCAGAACTGGTCCATCTTGAGGCCATTGTTCAGGAGCACATCCTTGCCCTGGTCACATTTGTTGGCCAACAAAACCACTGAAACTGGTTTGCCATTAGGGAGACTTAACTTGGAGTCCAAATCATTTTTCCACTTGGTCACTGCTTCAAACGTAGCTGGCCTGGTGACATCGAAGACAATGAATGCACCCATGGCTTCTCGGTAATAGACCCTTGTCATGTTTCCAAATCTTTCTTGACCTATCACCAAAAAGAAATAGAAATCAAAAACTTATTGCAATTATAAACTATACTAGAGGCCTGGTGCACAAAAATTTGTGCACTCATAGGCCTTCCCTTCCCCTGGCTGCCGGCACTGGTTTTCCTCTGGCACCCGGGACCCAGGACTTCACTCTGGCTGGAGCAAGGCTTGGCTCTTCAGTCTTCAGTCTTCAGTCTTCAGTCCGGCCAGAGCCTTCAGTCTTCACTCTGTGCCTGCGTATGCAAATTAGCCACCATCTTTGTTGGGTTAATTTGCATACTCATCCCATAGGCTGGTGGGCATAGTAGAGTGACACCAATTTGCATGTTTCTCTTTTATTAGTGTATTTGCCTCACTCTGAGGTAAGAGAGATAGTCTTTTCTTACATACTTGTCTTTTATTTTCAGTAGAACTCACCTCAACACACACACACACACACACACACACACACACACACACACCCCAAAACACT